CTCCGTTGGCATCTTTGGAGTACCCAGCCCTCAATAGCTTTGATCTTAGATGGGTCTACATGTATCCCCTCTTCACTGACTACGTGTCCCAAGAAATCCACCCTACGAATCCATAATTCACATTTGGTGAAATTTACATACAACTTATCCACCCTTAGAGTTTCCAAGACCTGCCTTAGATGTTGGCTGTGTTCTTCCTTACTTTGTGAGTAAACGAGTATATCATCGATGAGGACGATTATGAAGTTGTCGAGGAATGCTCGCCACACTCGGTTCATGAGGTCCATAAATGTTGCAGGTTCATTTGTTATACCGAAGGGCATTACCATGAATTTGAAATGTCCGTAGTGGGTTTGGAAGGAAGTTTTAGGGATATCTTCTTCTTGGACCCATAGTTGGTCATATCCAGACCTTAGATCTATTTTTGAAAAATATCTGGCATCTTGAAGCTAGTCGAATAGATCATCAATCCGAGGGAGAGGGTATCGGTTTTTTATGGTGATCTTGTTTGATTCCCGATAATTAATGCACATTCTGAACGACCCATCCTTCTTCTTGAAAAACAAGACCAAAGCTCCCAGGGTGAAAAGCTTGGTCTTATAAACCCTCTTTCTAGGAGTTCGTTCAATTGGCTCAATAACTCCTGCATTTTTGTAGGGGATAACCTATAGGGTGACTTGGCAATTGATGTGGCCCCAAGGCTTAGGTCAATTCGAAATTCAACCTGTCGCTCTGGGGGTATCCCTGGTAGATCTTCTGGAAATACATCCGGAAAATCGCGCACCTCCAGAATATCATCGAGTTTCTTTTCCTCTTTCTTTTTGTCCATTACGTGGTCTAGAAAGGCATGATTCTTCTTGTGTATACACTTTTGTGCCTTAATGAATGATATGAGACGAAGGTTTGCACAATGTTTATCATCATAGATCGCTAGGGTTTTGTTATTGGGTAGGTAAGGCGAACGGCCTTCTCATGACACATAATATCGGCATGGAGGGGGCTTAACCAGTCCATGTCGATGATCATATCAAAACTCCTAATGGTGACAAGCATCAAATTGATTTGGAAAGAGTGATCATTCAGTGTTAATATACACCCTATGAAAATATTACCGATTGATTATGTTTTTCCATTGTCCATTTCTACTGTAAAGGTTTCGTTTAATCTTTGGGGATCCTGATTGAGTAAGTTTTTGAACTTGTGGCTTATGAAACTTCGTTCGGCCCTACAATCGAATAGGATGCATGCGTAGATGTTGTTGAGAAGGAACGTACTGGTGACTACTGTTGGGTCTTGTACGGCCTCCGCTTGTCGCATTATTAGGACTCTTCCTGATCCACCTGTACCCCTATTGTTGGTTTTGGGGTAGTTCCGTTTGTAATGAGCGACTTTTCCACAACTGTAACAGGCTTGACCGACCCCGGTGTTGTTGTTGTTTGGCTGTTTGTTCTGTTGTGGAGGCGCTCTGTAATACCGGACAGTGTGCCCTCTTCTATTGCAGTTGGTACATTGGAAATCTTGGCATTCACTGACATGATGGAAACTATACTTGTGTCATTTGGGGTGAGAACCTGCATAGGATCTAGCAGGTTCTGGGGTGGTTGCAATGGTTGTAGTGGTTGAAGTTGGAGCTTGTATGGTCTGAGTGGTAGCAGCGTGAACTGCTACCATTTGTTCCTTCTTAGAAGAATTTTAAGTTTGCCCCCCCCCCCTTTCCTTTTAGTTCCCGAACTCTTCTTATTGCCTCTTTCCTTCTTGGCTTTTGTCTCTGTAGTCTTGGTGCCTTTCTTGTTTCCATGATCATACAGCTTTTGAGCTAGACGTTTTGCACTATCGAACATTTCTGGTTTGTCAGCAATCACATTTCCTTGAATTGGGGAGTTAACCCCTAAATGAAACGTTCGATTTTCTTGTCTTTCGAGGTTATCATTCTCCGGCACAACAGTGCCAGCTCGCTGAACCTAGTAATATAGGTTCCAATATCTGAGTTTTGTATAATAAGGTTCCATAACTCTTGTTCCAGCTTTTGTATTTCCCTACGGGAACAATATTCAGCCAACATCATTTCCTTGAGTTCCTCCCACGACATAACATTAGCAATTGGGAGTGTTAAAGCCTTAACACGACCATTCCACCATGATAGGGCTTGATCGACAAACATACAAGCTACAAACTTCACTTTACTTTCTTCCAGGCATTCCCATATCTCAAAGACGGACTTTGTCTTCTTAATCCAGCGTTTTAGAGTTATCACCCTCCGGTTCCGTTGAATGTTCTAGGCTTCACATTAGAAAAGTATTTATAGGTGCATGTTTTTTGCAGGTCCTTGATTGTTTCCATGGTTAGAGCTTTTTGTTCCCTGACTATTTCTGCCTCCATTGTTTCCATTATGGATATGAGCCAATGCTGCAGTAACTGCAGCCAATACTGCTGCCTGGAATGCAACATAGTTTACCTCCAGCAAAAGCGGTGGTGGTGGCTGCGTGTTGTTGTTTTTGTGCACGTACCTTCGAGGCATCTGTTGTCATGAAGCAGAAGGATGATGAGTATATGATAGTTTTTGGTTCCGAATTCCTTTATTATCTAGTGGTTGCGGTGGTTTGGTTGTACTTATAAATGAGATCATACAATATCAAGAAATAATAGGAATAGAAAACATAGCAGATAACAACATCACAAATAAAACACAGAACTGTTCCATTAATGATAAACTTTGCAGTAAATACATGAAATTTTGCCTTTGAAATGGCATACAGTACATAGAGGAAATAAAATCTGCCAACATAATGACTCTACGAGTAGTGTAGGCACTTAATTGTAAAGTCTGCCCTACATATAATAGTAAACAAAGAAAAAGTCCTATCAATAGTGGCGGTGAGTATAACAGATCCTACTCTTGGTGGGAGGCATCTAGGGGTGCTGTTGTCGAGGTGGATGCGCCATGCAGCTTGGCCAACTGGCGCTCAGTGACATGAAGTCGGGCCTCCAATGCTACTTGTCATTCCTGGTAATCCCTGACCACCTCCTATGTTTGTCTCTTTGCTCTCTCCACGGGTGCTCGCACATGATCCAGCTGATTAGAGGTGGCCTATGCTTGGTTGCCAATGTCTTGTGTCCGTCTGACCATGACTGGAAGTGCTCGATCAGTCGGTCCTCCATGGCTGAGATTGTAGAATCCTCGATCCATACCAAAAGGTGGCTGTATCTCCTGGTGTCGACCCCACCTCTAAATGTCATGTGCCCATGGGGGTGTGGGGCGCATCCTATGAGCAGGAACCCTGGCCATGTATGGCATGTTGATGAATTCAGACTCCGCGTCCGAGTCATCCACATCACTCTCATCGAGCTCGTCTTCATCAAAATCTATCTATGGTTCTGCGTGTTCCTACTCTAGTTCTTCGGGATCCTCTCTGGGTTCCTCTTCCAGTTCCTCCTCTGGCTCTGGCTCAAGCCATCCACCGTTCCCCTGATTAGGGATGTATGGGCCAGGATGAAAATCGACCATCGTGTCTGTACGAGAATGTACCAGTATAAGAAGATATAACATAACAAAATACTCATATAGTATTTTATTTGTTTACTCATAACAAAATACTCATGGTTTTATAACAAACACGATAGATTACTGTTAAAGGTTTGGTATTATCTTTAAATTCTAAATTTATTGTTTCTACTGTTAAAACTAAAGTATCTAATATATTTTTATCAAATAATCCTTTAAATTTTTTGGATAGAAGTTAAAATAATTTGGTTCGTTAGCAATATTTGTTTCTGCTATAGCAAAAATAGAATTTTAAAAATCTTTATGTCTTTTATATCTTAAAATTATGAGAACGTGAACATCAATATCAATTCTAAATAAAGGTTTAGTAACAATCTATACTAAACCGATATGAAGAAATTTATATTGTTGTTTATGTTCTAAAACAAATTTTAATGATAGTAGATTTAATTATTGTTTGTTTTGACTAACAGACACAGTTTGTTATGTTATTTTGATTGATTAACTTTGAAATCGAATGTTCTTATTTTATATATTGTATTTATATTTGTTTTTGGTATTGTCTAATCATTTAAACTTTGTTTTATGTCATCAATAATTTCTTCGATAGAATTTATTTGATTATTATTATAGTCTGGTTCTTTGTTATTACTTTTATTAGGAATATATTTTTTAGATAATACGCGTGAAGGCCTACTCATATTTGATTTATTTTGTTCTAAGATTGTATAAAAAAGCTTACTTGTTTTAATAATGACAAACAGAAGAGAGTCGCCCCGATGATGATTGTGGTTCGACACTGCAACTTACGTCCTTATCTGCGCGTCTTACGCTAATCCAACCAGTCACTGGTCTTGATTCTGAATCATAATTATTAAAACTAATAATTTTCTTAGAGAATTTTAAACCAGAATTAATTAAATTTGAAATAATTCTATCACAAATAACCACCAAAAAATTCTTAATCTTTCTTTTATATATATATATATATATATATATATATATATATATATATATATATATATATATATATATATATATATATATATATATATATACACACACAAGATAGAGAGAGAAGGGAAAGATTCCAGTTCCAAATCATCGGCCGCTGTCTGGCCAAAGTTGTGCACGGAGAATGTTGATATTATATGATGTTGTGCACATCCGTTCAACGGGATGCCATATTAAATCCATGCATAGCCAACACCACTCTTCAACAATAAATTCTCTGATAATATGGGTATCTCCAACATTTATGCATATATAGACAGTCTCTAATACAATGAACACGTAATAAAAACATGTCTGATTTCCTCATTGAATATTGGCTCTAGCTTGTTCTTTGGTCCAATTAACCCTAGGTAACCTCCCTAGCTACTATATATTCTCACTTTCATGTTTCAAATGTATCCCCATTCTAGATTCGCTACATTGCAAGTTTAGATATAAATATAAATATATATATCTATATATATAGAGAGAGAGCGAAGGATTAATGGGGAGGTCACCAAGTTTTGAGAGGGGCTTGAAGAAAGGGCCATGGACATCAGAAGAAGATCGAAAGCTTGTGGCTTATGTTGAACAACATGGACATGGAAGTTGGAGGTCATTACCCATTAAGGCTGGTACGTGAACACACACACATACACTATCTTCTACAAAACTTAATTTGGATTTGTGTTAGTGTCTTGTTTATGTTTGGTAAAATACATGCAGGGTTACAGAGATGTGGTAAGAGTTGTAGGCTGAGGTGGACTAATTATTTAAGACCAGATATTAAAAGAGGAAAGTTCAGCTTGCAAGAAGAAGAAACCATCATCCAACTACATGCTCTTCTTGGCAATAGGTATTCCATAAGTTTTCCATTTTTGTTTTGTTATATATATATATATATATATATATATATATATATATATATATATATATATATATATATATATATATATATATATATATATATATATATATTTCAAGAAAAAGATATATAGTAAAACTAAAAAAAGAGACTACTGGTACATATGCATAAAAACGTGGACAAACTTTGAAAATTTTATAACACATGAGTTATGGTAGACTAGAACTAATATTTAAGGTTAGTATTTAGTTGTTACTAAACAATATATATTATTTGAAGGATATATGTTAATTAATATTACATTATGAAGCGGTATATATGTTATTTAAAATTATCGATCGGATGTTCCTTGTTACATATTAATATATTATAATCCTCTATATATTTCTTATTTTCTAGCTAGTTGATTTTGTTCTCTGAATGGGGATGTGGGGTTCGCCTGTGTTTGTTGTATGCTTGTATTGTTGATTATTGATGTAGACTGTAGAGTGCGTACTAGAATGTCTTTAAATAATCTAAGAGAAAGTGGGCACTCACATCATACATGGAGAGTGAAAGAAGAGGGTAATTTTGCAACAAAAAATAATTGATTGATTAATATTATAAATTCGTATCATTTTCCATATATATACATGTGACACTGGTTGCGGTCAGTTTTTGAAATTTAGATGTTAGAGTTTCTTCACGTTATAATTTCTCATATATATATTTACATAAAAATATATTTATAATTATTATTTAAATGATTCAGGTGGTCAGCTATTGCAACACATTTACCCAAAAGAACTGACAACGAGATCAAAAATTACTGGAACACGAATCTTAAGAAACGATTAACCAAAATGGGTATCGACCCAATCACACACAAGTCAAGAACAGCCACTGATACCAACTTAAGTCATATGACACAATGGGAGAATGCTCGTCTTGAAGCAGAAGCTAGATTTGTTCGTGGATCGACTAACGTTGTTTCCCACTTTTACCAACGAATCCATTGCAGTCCACCTCCATTTATGACCAACAACAAACTGGCGATGTCATCTCTTTCACTACCATGCCTCGATGTGCTCAAAGCATGGCCAGGTATTACTTCATGTAAGCTCTCTGATTTAAGTGGGCTAGAGACTCCCAAAGATCAAAACATGCCACCAATGGTGAATCTCATTGAGAATGTCGAACCACCATCTCTTTATAAAGATACGACTACACAAGACTGGGAAATCTCAAAAACTTCATTATTTAACGCTGTTGAGAGCCCTCAAGACAAAGGAATCGATCAGAACGTGTTTGAAGTGAATGACATGATATTTCAAGATGACTACTTGACGGAGGCACTTACGAATCACTTGGTCAAGGATTTCGAAGATGGTAAAAGTTACTGGAGTAGCATTCTTGATAAAGTAGGGAATAATTCATCATTTTCATCTGTTTTCTAAAACAAAACCATCCGTCAAGAGGATTAATATTAGACTTTCCAATAAATTTGTCTTAAGTATCTAATACGTCTTGTAATAGAATCTAGTAATTAATTAAAATTTAATGTTATTGAATCCTGTTCATCAAATTTTAATTTGAGTAACTTATATGGTTCTGTGGTTGATGAAAATAACAATATTTTTCCAAGTTCTTTTTACATGGATAGTAATTATAGTTTTATTTCTTTGCAGGTTTGGTCCTATCACTAACTCCTCTAAGTTGATAGTTTTAATTTTTTTGCAGGTTTGATCTTATCAGTTATCACCATTTTCCTTTATCGATTCTTATTAAATATTTAACAAATGTAGTCCCCACCACTTAGCTACCATATTTTCTTTTATTGGATTTGATTAGATAGTTAATTAATTTGATTAACTTCTTATGACATTTTCTCTCTTTAATTTGGCCACTAATTGAAGGTTCATCTGAGACCCAAGCCCACATGCCTTCTTCTAACTTAGTAGCGAAAACCACCTAAGTTTCTTTTCATTGAAGCGCTTTCCGGAAACCAAGTTGGAAACAATCCATCTTATATACTCTTATTGATCTGATCTAATCCAAAGATGTAACAATGGGTCCCATGTTCTAGTATTCTTAGAAGCTTAAACACCTGATATAATAATAATGGAGTCCATGTTGCAGCCTTGCATGCAAAGTTGACAAAGATATAAAACCAGTCTGGTTAAGTTTCATATCATTATGACACTGCAACGTGTACGTAGGAGCATTATGCACACGAGAAAAGAGAACGAAGAGCATGTTCTGTTGAAATTAATTTACAAAGAATAATTTAGATATTCCATATATTGGTAATTTAACCACGGGGACCATCACCGTAACAAAATGGAGTCATATGCTTAAACATAGTTGGAAAAAATGGACTAAGAGTGAAATAATTACATGGACCATTTCTCCAATTTACTCTCATTATTATTATTATTACAAGTTATTAACCCGTATTCAACACATGAAATAATTTTAATGTTTTTGTTAGTTGTTAATTTAAAATTAATCTCGCACCTAATCACCAGGTATAATCAATTGAAACATGAGTGCACAAATTATATATTGCAAACAAACTCTGTGACTCATTAAGGTTGAGTAGGACCACAAAACAACATCGTTAATGATTTGCAGAAGCACCATATTTCAGCTTCAATGCAATTAGACCTGAAAAGATTGAAATGCATAGAAAACATATCGTGAGATTGACATGTAATTGTCCACACAACATCTTATTATCATCTATGTTAGTTTTATAATCTCATTAACTAAAATCAAAATGTTCTATTTATGCAACTTCAAATTGCTAAAGCAAACCTAACCTCGAAATTTCAAACTATACAGTTTCCATACGCTAAAATAATCATGGATGATTGGTGGATTTTTATTCACGAATCTGGTTTTTATTAATTGTCATTGCAAAACATACGACTAATCGAAATTATATTGTATTTATAGACATAACATAGTTAATTATAAATTTGCAAACACTTTTTTTTTTGTAAATATATGTTACACCCCGATTCTCAAGTATAGAAAAAAATTAAAGTTTATATTCACTTTCTTGGATCTACTCACGAGTTGGATGCTCTAACTCGTCGTGTAGAAGTGGATCAGGCTGCATGATTTAGGAGGTCGACTCGACGAGTTGGAGGACCCCAACTCGATGTAGGAGCTGGGGAATGAAACCCTAATATCCAAGGTTTTACACCTTATTTAAAGGGTCATTAGCCTCCCTCTACCTCCCTTACCGCCCCCTTGAGCTCAGAAAACCCTAATCACGCCTACTCTTCATTTTTGTGTGTTAAGAAGCTTGGAAGGTGGATTTTGGGAAGAGAACTTGAAGTCTAAGGAGCTTGGAGCAAGGAGAAACCTGTGGATCTGATTTCTACTTCATCTTAGCATCATTTTGAAGGTAACAAGTTGTTACCTTGACTTCTCTTTAGCTAGATCTCTTCATGCAAAAGGTTTAGGGATATTTCTAGTTTGTTGTGGAGTTATTTATGGTTCTATGCATGATATGAAGTTGTAACTTCAAATCTGGACTCCTCTAGCCCCTTATAGTCATAAAGTTCCAATCTTTACCAAGTTATGGCCTTCTCCTTACCTAAAACTTCTTCCTTAGTTTGGTTTTAGCATTTAAGACCTTTCATGCACGTAAAGTTTGCAACTTTATGTGATAACTTCACCTTAGGAAGCTATATCTACAATTTGGAGCTTTGGGGTAGCTTAATAACATCTGAATGAGAAATAGACTAAAAAGAATCGACAAGTTGATGGTCAACTCGACGAGTCAGATGAAGATTGGTCGTTTTTGGTTTCCACATGGACTCAGCGAGTCAGTGAGATGACTAGACGAGTTAATTAGGGTTTTCCCGACATTTGGACACCACATGGACTTGACGAGTCAACTAGGGTTTTCACGATTTCACAGGTTTTGGAGGAACTCGACGAGTTAAGGGGCTACAATCGACGAGTTGGGTCAACATGGACTGTTGACCTTGACCGTTGACTTTGAATTTGACAAAGGTTTGACCAGTTTGACTTTCGAGGGTATTTTGGTAAATTGGGTATTTATGGAATGGGATTAATGGTGGTTGTATGTAACACCCCGATTCCTAGATGTGGAACTTGAGGATTTAGTGCAAGTTGAAGGGCCTACTTGACGAGTTGGTTGGCCCCAACTCGTTGTGTAGGAGTTGATCAGGACGCGTGGGTTAGGATGCCTACTTATCGAGTTGGTGTGATAGACTCGACGAGTTGCGATTGTATGATGAAACACAAGTCCTTTATCCCGCCTCCCTTAGAATGCTAAGTGTGTGTATGAGGCCAAAAGTGTGCTTTTGGAGCATTCCTTGAAGAGGCTTAAGGACTTAGAGGCTTGGAATAAGGGAAAGCTTGTAGATCCAACATCTTTATCGTGTTGGCATCCAATGGGAGGTAAAAATTGTTAGATTAATGTCTATAACTATAATTGGTAAGAATTGACCCGACCCGGCATGGTCCATTTGGGTTGCATGGCATCATGCATTTGGATAGACTATAATGAGAGAAATAACACTTAAGGTTTTTTAATATATTATAAGTTATAATATATTATTAAAATTATTTAATTAGTATTGATCAAGAATTAATCTAGAATTAATTAAGTGATCAAAAGAAGACTAATTAAATATATGGGTTGATTGTGTAAATCATCCATACTTGTATAGTGGGCTAATGCTCCATGGATTATCAAGTTGGGATAAAACCCATATGATGCTCCATGGATGCTCCATGGTGTATTTGAACCCATGGATCCAAGGAAATGGAAAGCCATGACAATTAGGGTTTACCCTAATTGTAACAACTATATAAGATCATATTCTTTGACAAAATCGACCACTAAGTTGGGAAGAGAAGGGCTAGCCGATTTTAGAAGTGTTCAAGTTTCTCTCAAGTTATTCCAAATGTATTTGGTGTTGTGTGAACCATTTGAGGTGTCACACTTGGGGCACTAGACACTCAAGCTTCATGAGGACATTCTACACCAAAGAGGTATGTATTTTATCTTGTTATATTCATTGTTTTGTATGCTAGATTAGGATAATACCTTGGATCTTCATATTTGCATGTATAATAGAGAAAACATAGATACAATGTATTTAGGGTTGCATATACACTTAGGAGTGTTAGAATGCTCAAATCCCAACAGTTGTATCAGAGCCTAGGCTTGTTTTCTTGTTATACTTGCAAAAGTAGCTGAAAAAATCGAGTTTTGATGCTGTCTGCACAATAGACTCGCCAAGTCCATGAATGGACTCGCCGAGTCCAAGGCAAAATGCATCCAAGTCGCCGAGTTGGTTCGTGCACTCGACGAGTTGGACCCCCTGACAGCATATATTCGATTGTTTTGGCTGGAATTGGACTAGGAACATTACCCTAAGATGTTTTTGGACTTATAAACTTGTTTTTGATGTGGTAATGTTCATGCTAATCCAATCTCTAAGATAATTGTCATAATTTCAAGATTTGTATTAGTTTGTATGTTCATGCTAATTTCTTGAAGATTGATGATTTAAATTATCTTGTTCTTAGATTAATAGAAAAGTTGTGTGAAATAGTTGATTTCAATCCATTTTAATCTAAGAGTCGATTCCAAAGTGTGTTTTTGTAACTTGTCCTCAAGTTATATGAAAAGTCACATTTAAGATTCATAAAACTCATAAAAGTTGGCAAGGTTACAAAATGAAGAGTCTAGTTCTAATTAAATGGTTTTATGACTCCATTACTTGTCCTCAAGTTATGGAGGTTTAAGAGTCTCTTCATTAAAGAATAAAAAAAAATGTAACCTTAATTAGTTCCATAAGTTACAATAAAAAAGTTTTTTTTTATTAATTAATTTAAAGTCTTCCATAACTTGTCCTCAAGTTATGGAACTTGAAGAGTCTTAATTAAAACTACTTTAAACACATAAGTTATGGAATTAATTAGTTTTGAATAGTTTCAAAACTTGCCCTCAAATTTTGGAATTTGAAAAGTTTTCTCTTATGAATACTTTAATTCCAAGTTAGCCCTTAGAGTTTTAAAAGTTAAAATTCAACCCTTAGACTCTATAATATTATAAGTTAATTATATATATATATATATATATATATATATGTGTGTGTGTGTGTGCGTGTGTGTGTGTGTATAAGAGTAAAAGTCAGTCTTACCGTTAGGCCTCATTCAAGAAGTCGGTCTATAAGGGGGGTATAAGGTTACTGCCTATAAAATGACAGTTTAATGGGTGTCCACTCTCACCCACCGCTTCCTTGATTAGTGGAGGGTCATTAGCCGAATGAGTAGGACAAAGATTATAAGTTCTCCCTTCATTAAAAGTATTAATGATAAATACTAAGTAACTACACACTTATAATTCCCAATCTTAGTTACTTAGGAAAATGTGAATAAGGTGCTAACCCATGAAATTACACTT